GTAGTAGTAGTAGTAGTAGTAGTAGTAGTAGTAGTAGTAATAATCCTCATCATCATCATCATCATCATCACCCTATTGTATAATCTAGAGCGGGATAATTTCTCCAAGATTCTTAATTACAATAACTACAGCATAGGCTATAATACAAGGAGAGCTCAAAACTTCTGTTCACTGGAGGACGTCTACACATAGATAATTCAAGCTTCTTCTTCTTCTACAACTGAAGTTCCTACTACATGAATGCCCTCAGCTAAAAGGAGCTAGCATACTTGTGAAGGTCAGATTTTCATGCATATTAGCAGTTTTAAACATAGATGGTAAAGGAGTTCAGGGCCTTCCCCCACCAATTCAGGAAGGTGCGCATAATAGGTTGCTGCTGCTTTTATGTATCTTTCAAACAAACAAATTTTCAAGTAGGTAGTTTACTAAAGAATTAATAACTTTGTTGCCTTAAAAACAGCACTGAAAATTGAAGGACTGGTGTATGAAAAGTAATTATGATTGAAGTGGATTATGCTGAAATGTTTGTTGCTCTGAAAGTTACTTCAAGAAAGTAGTAGATGCAATTTCCTTTACCCTTCTTACTCCCTGGTAACAATTGTGATTTAATTGACTGCAAAACAAATTCCTCTGAATAGCTGAGTAACCCGGCAATATAGATTGGTTACTAGCACTCTGGAATTATTCAGCAGTGAATTTACAAGATGAACTGTTTGGAACACAGATTTAAATACCCTTATTCAGCAAAAGTTTTTACTTTTTGTCTTTACCATGCTATCAGCACCTAATCAGTGAACACTTTAGTGGGTTTTGCAAAAAGTATTTGCCATCTATCATCCTGGTTTCAAACATGACTAAGTGGGTCTCCAAGTAACCTGATCTAGTGAAAAACATTGCTGCTAATTATAGGGGAGTTGGACCAGATGGCCTCTAAAGATTCCCTTCCAACCCAAGGTGTTCCATGTTTCTATGATTCTATAAGTAAAAGGAAAGAAATAAAGAAATTGTGTTCATAAACATATCCCAACTGATAGAGAGGAAGGTAAAGTGTTCCTTCCAGATTTCAAGGCGTTTGGAGAAGGAATATAATAGTTTTTATTTTCAGTCACATAATTTTATTTTCTAATTTAGTAATCACCAGGATCCACAATCTTCAAGTGAACTTTACAACTATTTTCAGTTTTTACTATGACTACATTATTATCTATGTTAATTTTTTTAGCCTGAGTTTTCTTCCATCCTAGCTACTAAGAAGTCCTAAGTGAAACAGTTTAAATATCTGGGCTGTAACCTTCATCCAAGTTTAAGATTATGTCAATGACACTGTGCTTGCCAAACGAGTCATCTCGATTTCCCATCACACTTGGACAGCATGACCACTGCAGGTCCCTTCCAACTGAAATATTCTATTCTATTCTATTCTATTCTATTCTATTCTATTCTATTCTATTCTATTCTATTCTATTCTATTCTATTCTATTCTATTCTGTTCCGTTCCATTCCATTCCATTCCATTCCATTCCATTCCATTCCACAATCCAGCATGGTCTGTTTGTGTCATTAGTTAATCTTTAAACACTAATTTTTCATATTGATGTATAAAGTATAAATATGATGGCTTCACTGTGATCTGCAGAATTCTATCCCATTTTTATATTTTCATGAATGCTACTCAAATTTACCCCAAATGAGCATATAACTTTAAAGGATTGCTACTGAAACCAAAACTGCCTTGTACTGTATGCTGGTATAATCAGAAAATATGTGAGAAGGGCAGGGAACATTATGTCTCCATTTGAAATTGCAGTTTTTTGCTATAGTTTTCTATATAATTCTTACTAATGTAACTATTAGGTTTTTGGCATCAGGCAAAAGGTAACACTGGCATGTTTGAAAAGTATGGTTATTGAAAAAGAGGCTGTGAGAAATTTAGAAGTTAAAGCCTTATCAAGAGAACACCTTCATATCCATTTCCATAACTTACATGTTTTTAAAATTTTCTTCTGCTGTTTTATTGGCTTCTCTGTTCTCCAGTTGTAGACAAAAAAGATACCATGCCAAATCTTATTTTCACCAAAGTGTTAGTGAGGCAGGTAATGGAATAATTTATCATATTTTGCTATTTATAAAAGATCAAATGATTTTGAACTCTCAGATGAATCTATTATCTAAAATCCTTTTCACATTTCCTCAAAGAAAGCATCACAGTGTGATAGATCCCCTGTGGCTCCTTATTAGCCAGAGAATTGAATTCCAGATGTTGTTTCCAATAATGCATGAGAGAAATAATAATTATTTTCAAAACTAACTCTCAGCCTGTTGCCAGTCGTGGAAGGTGAAGTAAGCAGGTGTACTTCTTTCTCATGTCCCTTCTTGAACGTGTGGGTACCACTGTCATTGCTGGGTCCGCTATGTTTCTTATGCTGTGACACAATCCTCATGAAAAATTGCAGACAAGGATTAAAGGGATAATCAAATGAATACCTGATCATCCTTCAAAGAGCAAGATTACCTCAACAGAAATCATGCTGTTTAATTTCACATTTGCAAAGGGCCCAATGGAAATCAATCGTTCTTGGTTATGCCTGAGGCAGATGAAGGTTGCAGCCTTTAGTTTGTTGTTGATTCAGTCAAATTGAGTCCCAGTATGGACTGGAGCGATCTAATGATCAGATGCATAAATTAATATTCCCCTATATCTAAAACTCTAGGAATGAAAAGCAATCATTGCCTAAATGAGATTTAGAAATTGCAATCTCTATTTTAGGAAAAAATGTAAGATTAAGCAGAGATAAAGATAAGACAGAAGTTAAAGAAATAAAATAAATTTTTTGGGATCATGAACAGCAGAGGCACACATTTAAAAATACAATCCACAATAGCAGTTAGGCTCTCCCAATTGCACTTTCATATCCAGAAATCATCAGACTTGCCATAGGATATAGATCTGCCTTCAACACATTGCTCACGTGGGTCTCTGGATCCTTCTTCTGCCATGCTCTTCATCCTTTCCTAGTGTTCTCTGCTATTTCCACTCTGCAAGGCAGATGGCTCATTGTATGGAGTAGTGAAACTATGGAATGCCCGGACCAGGACTATTTCTGGAAGAAGGAGCACCTAAGAGGCACTGATGAGAATCAGACTGGCCAACAGACACCAAACAGATACAGCCTTTCCCACAATGTAGCAAGGTTAGCACAGTTGCATAGAAATCAGATACCTAGTTAATCTTTTTTTGTTGCAGATAGCTGAGCTGTGCCGCTACAACCGGTCAGTGCTTCTAAAAATCAAGATGGAAATTCCTTTACTGTATAGAATCATATAATCATTTAGGTTGAAAAAGACATCTGACATCATCAAGTCCAACCATTAACCCAGCACTGCCAGGCTCACCACTAAACCATGTCCCTAAGTGTCATACCTACACAACTTTAAAATATATCCAGGGGTGATGCCACAACCCTACATTCACTCTTTCCTTGCATATACCTTTTGGAGAGTGAGATAGGAGAACAAGGGACCTTGCTAGGACACCATCCCTCTAACACTGGTGTGCTACCCTCAGGCTTATCTGTAGTGGCTCTGGTTTTATGCCTTTCCCCTTGATTTGATGTTTTGAGATGAGACACTTAAGCTGTTTGATTATTGGCCTGTGTGACTGCAGTCTGTGACTGTGAATGTAGTGGAGAGTTCTGACTCTCTCTGAAGAGAACAAGGACCCCTTTTCATTCCAAGTTAGAAGAGGATCTCACCATGGTCATGGTGCAGGGCTTGGTCTCACTGCCCAGGCCAGAAGACTCCCTGTCCTGTCAATCCACATGTGAACACCAGGTGTGAATTGCCATGGTCGCTGCACCTTTACAGATCCAGTGTCAGAGCCAGTGGCTGAGCAGCTGGCTGGAAGGTCCCTTCAAACACAGATCTCTGCTCTTGAGTGGCCCCAGTCACAGACTTCTCCATCCTGTTAGTGTTGTGGATCTCCTTTTCAAGTGTGGGCTGTGGGTGCAACTTATTTTAAAGACTAGCAGCTCTTTCTTTTCTCTCTTTCTGTGTGAATTTCTTCTTTGAAGCAGTTCTCCAAGTTCGTGTCATTTTGCTCTATGCATACCCTGCACAAGACTAGGCTGCAAGGTCATCCCTCTTTGCAGAAATCTCTTCTCAGATATTTTTGGACTAAATTCCAATTCTAAGCAACCTGATTTTACTCCTGTCCTTCAGATACCTTGATTATTGTTTTTTCTGCTTTCTTTCATTTAATGGAGAAGATTGATACCCTGTCCATGATGGCACAGATAGTGCCTCTCCCTTTTAACCTAGGGACATTTTAGAAGTTTAAGTGATTTCAAAGCTGACTTTGGTGAAATGGGGGAATAAGGAAAAAACCCAACAAAACCAAACCACCACACCATGAAGAAATGCATGACTGATAAGGGAATTTTGAACTCCACATCCTCAATCTCTGTTTCCAGTGCCTGAGATTTTGTGATACCTATGGCCCTCTGCCAGGGGATCTCACAGCCACAGGCAGTTATTAACAAAGAGCTTGACATCCAGTAGTAAAAATGATGGTCAACTCAGCAATATTATCCCAGCATACTTCCATGATCTATTTATTTTCAGAGATAATATCCTTTTTATTTATTTGCTTTTCACTTCTGACTTTAACAACTTAAACAACAGTTTAAAAAGGAACTGGAATGTTTTGTTACAGTAGTAGACAGTGTAAATTTTCTTTCCTTCTGAAACTGGGATTTAGGACTCATGCTTTCTGGGGGTTTCATAAATCTGTGTGTTGGCTCCTCTTATACATTCATACACTGAGCGGGCTGCTGGAAACTACAGTGACATTGATCACTTTGGCCATGCCCTTGTGAGCCAGGAGAGTGTTGTTTTGGTCCTTCATCTTTTAATTTGCCCCATCTGGTTTAATTTGAAAGGTGTTTAGTGACAGCCTTTTTTACCCTGTGGATTCTCACTTATATACTATTGGTGCTTTGCAGATTCTGGATTATGAAGATCTACTGCAGTCCCTTGAGATAAGTAAGTGCTAGCATTACTATTCAAAAAGGACAAGGGCTGAGGAAATGAGGTCTAATTTGTGACCTGACAAAGATCATGGTGAAGGTCTATAGAATAATTTAGAATGGAAAAAATGTCTCCCAGACTATGAGTTCTTTGTCTTTAAGCCAGCATGGATCTTTGACAGATGCAAATAACTCTCTAATGAGCTGAGGATCATTCTAGCTTTTGAAACAGTGAAAGAGTCCCAGTGAATCAGGCTAGTCCTCCATCTTACTCAGCAGCCTGTCTCTAAAAATTACCTTTGAGGATCTAATTCAGAAGCAGACACTCTGCAGAAGATTTTTTCTTATCCTATCACTACATAAAGAATTCCCCAAAACTTCTGTGATGAGTAAATATCTGCAGCAAAGTTTTGTGATGAATAAAGGTCTGAAGCATGACTATTTTTTCCAGAATTCTTGTTTGCTTTTAACAGTTACTGTGACAAAGCTGGATTTTAATGCTACCAGCTCATATCCAACCTATGCTCAGTAGCTATCATTGGTGGCAGCTATGAACACATATTCAGATGTTAAAGACTCAACTATAAATCTGAATTCCTAAATTTTACAATCCATCCTTGAAGTATGGTCTTAGCCACAGCTTTCACTCCTCAGAAGGCTTCAGGAAGGATATACTGCTCTCTCAAGTCCTCTGTATTCTTCTAGGCTTTATACTGGATGTGAATCAACCTCAGAAGAAATCTGCATGGCTATGATCTGCCTACAGTTTATCTAAAATGTCATTGGAGGATCCAGAAGTGCTCCCCTTCTCAGACACAGCACGGTTATATATCATACATATATTGTTCCCCTGCTCAAGAAGCTTTTTTTGGGGGGCTAGGCTAAACTGTGCTGGGATCTGTTACAGGACACAGAGATTCTTTTTCTGTTCCCAGTGCCAGGTGCATTTGTTCACTTGTCTGTCTATAATATGAAGTAATAGAAATGTGCACCTAAAAACAGTAACGAACTCCTGCCAGTGATAACCACACCCCTGAATACATTTCTCAGCCTAGATAGTAGCAGTGAGAATAAACTTTTAGTCATGGTATTTAAGGCAGTGCTGGCAAGTTCTATAAAGCAGAACATGATTTATTCCTTTTTTTCTACACCACCCAGCTCAGGAAGCACTACTCTGACAAGTGGATCTAATCCATGCTATGCATACTTGTTGTCTAAACTGAGAAAGATGACATTATAGCTTCCTGAAGATTCTGATTTTAATGTGTTAAGAGATATATAATTTTTGAACTTGATATAAACTAGTGCATTTTTGCCCCATCAATAATATACCATGTATAAATTAGTGTCTGAATTAATGTTCTGTGGCTTTAGTGAAAAAAATAGCAAAGGCTTTATTACATAATAAAATGCCCTTAATTGTTGGACTACAGCAGCTTTATAACATACCATTATTTTTGGACACAACCTCTGCCTTTTTATTGATCTCAAAATGTTATCAGTCAGAGCCAGATTGAAAGTAAAACTGAAGAATAACATTACAGGGGCGATGCTATTGAGTGAAATAAATTAATGCTGGCCTGGCTTTGAATTCAGAATGAAATGGAATTAATGGGAAGATTTACAGAATAATATATTTCCAACTTTTGAAGCCAAATGTTTTCACTCAAAGCAATAAAGCATTACATGCAATTTAGCTGCATTTCTCAAACCGTGAATGGCTTGTTGTCAGGCCTCTATTTGTTTGCTTATTTGCTTGCTTTCTTGTGGCTTAATTAAAGAGCATCTCAAGGTACAGTTTGGAGCTACTCTAATGTCACCAAGCACTCAGCAAATGTGGCAGGATTGGAGGTTGTGGTGGCAAGAGGCTATTAAAACCTTTTCTTGCTGCCATCTGTTTACAGGCAGCCTAAGATTCCACCTTACAGGAGTATTTTTTTTTCTGTGATGTTATTGTTTTTTTGTTGTTTTTGTTTGTTTGTTTTGGGGGGTTTTGTTTGTTTGGGTGTTTTTTAATCCTAGAGTTTTTTCTTTTTTAATCCTAGGGAGAATTTTAGGAGCTACGAAAAAATAACTGGGCAATGCTAACCAGGGGCTGTGATTTACTTCCCAGTCTAGACCCACCAGTTTCATCCACAACTCTGGAAAACAGACATATTTAGAGAAGAACTCAACTGAGTAACTAAACCTACACATGTCATCAACAAATTTCTTAAATCAGCGTATTGGTCTGTAATCCTTCAGGGCTGGGCCTTTCATCTTACTGTGTCCTTAGCTCTGTCAGAACAGAAATGGTAATATTGAGATAGTTTAGGCTATAAATATGCAGAGCCTATGCAATGAATTCAAGTTTAATGGCATAAAAAAACAGTTATTTTGGGAGGTGACTGTGAAATCCATTGTCTGGGTTGTCTTCTATAGCTCTATAGATAATAACATTGATATTCCTGATAGCTGAATTCACTCTGTCTCACTTCCTCTTTCAGTCTTCTGTGGGAGCAACGCTGCTTGTGTAACTTTCCAATGGTGCAAAAATTTTCAGGTATAGGCAAGCAGACAAATATTTAAAATCTAGAATGAAAATGGTAACACAAGTCACCTCAATTATTCACCTCAACCTGATCAGAGTGGGTGTTTTATTCCTAGGATGTAAGAATAAGTGTGTTGTGCCATAGTAGTGGGAAGTCTAAGTCAAATCATCGAGTTAAAAGTGAGAATTTGTATACAGAATTGCAGAAAGATTGTTAGACACTAAAAGACTTGGTGATTAAGTGGCAGATGATATTCAGAAAAGATAAATGTAAAATGACATACATGGGGAAAAACAATCCAAACTTCACATATAAAATTATGGGCTCTGAGCTAACTGCTATTACACAGAAATGGAATCTTGGGGTTATAATACATTGTTTTATTGAACTCGGTGCCCAGCTCTAGTAAAAAATGCAAACAGAATGTTAAAAATTGTTATGAAAGAGAATAAACCAGAAAATATTACTAAATCACTGTGCAAAGTGCTGGTGTGCCTGCATCTTAAATTCTGTGTGCAGTTCTAGTCTCTGTTTCAAGGTCATAATGCTCCTAGAAAAGGCCAAGTGAACAGTGGCACAGGTAATCAATGGTGGGATGCAGATTGCTCATGAGAGTAGACTGAACAGGATGCAGCTCTTCAGGGAAAAACAGTGGAAATAGAGAGATGTATAAAATGAGTTGTATAAAGGCTGTGTAAATTCATGTGGGATACGCAAAGGGCTTGTAGGCAATAATTTTCCTCTGTCTCTACCCACACAGTACCTAAAAACTTCAAGTGAAGGTTGCTGGTAGCTTCATAGGAAACAAAGCAAGAAAATACTTAGTTCATCTCTGAAGTTCCCTGCTGCAAGTGGCTGTGTGTGCATAGAGAAGATGACTGGATGAAGTCACAGAATAACAATACAGTGCGAGCTACTGAGCTCAGACAACAGCTCTGGCTCAGCTGTCCCTAAACTGCAAAGGACTGTTCTGGCAAATCTTATTGTACAGCCTCTATCTCTGTATCCTCCTGCCAAGGAAGCTGCTGCTGGCCTTCTCTGATGAGAAGAGGCCAAGATAGCTGACCCCAGGCAGTTCCCTCTCGTCTGTGCCTATTCTGTGCCACCAGCCATCCATCCTCAGTCCCCACTATTGCATGCTGCACGTTGGCAGCAGTGGCGGCTGCAGAGTTTAAAACCTCCCTGCCTGCCTTGCCCAGGCTCATGCTGTTCCCACCTCAGAACACAGCATCCAGCCTCCACCAGAGTTTCAGTCAAACCCATGCATTTCTTTATCTAAATCTGGATTTACTCTGGCCATTAGAGAGATAGAGTTTGGACAATGAGTTGAGATTAAAACCTGAAAGATTAGAGAGCTGCCAAGGTTCAACAGAGCTCAGCGCTTTTGTTTATCTCTCTCCACAAGCTGTCTAGTCCTGCTTATCCACACAGAAAATGTAAATGCATCTTTCTAAAACAACCAAGAAATGAAATTAGCAAAGCTCACTACTTTCTCTCTGGCTGAAGATTGTAGATTGGAGAAAAATGCCTAGGTTCATCATGTAAAATGCAGCTGAAAATGTCTCCTTTTTCTGTATTTTCTCAGTATTTTCCATTCCTGCCTAGTGGTCTTTCTGCCCCACTCCCACTTCCTTCAAGTTTCTTATCTGTGTATTCTTGAACTTATCACTGCAAAATTGATTTCTCCTTTACAGTGGAAGTGGTAGAATCCCAGCCTGCACTAAAGGAGAAAAAAATATTATTCAATTTGTTCAGAACTGTGTGCAAATAAAAACAAGAAGAAAATGACTGATTAAAATGAAACTCCCAGCAGTAGATTTTTGCATTGAGTTGAAATTTGCTTCTCCTGAAGCACACTGTCTGAAAGTTTCTCTCTGTTTATCAGCTGAAGTACTACCTCCAGAATTTATCTGAATTCACACTTGTCAGTTTAAAGATGACTGAGGGCTAAATTCCATCCTATTTTATTAAGTGCAGCAATGCAGTAAGAAGAAATGAGATGTCTTCCCACTTACTTGGTAGGCTCACCTGTAATTTGTGGCAGTCTCAAAATTTTGAGAGTAGGGAGAAGAAGAAGGTGCTTTCTTGTTGCTTTTGTTATGTTTGTATAAAATATGATTTCCAATATGCTACAAAGTCGCATAGTTTAGTTTACAACTAAAATTTAAATCCAACATTCCTGTTTTCATGGATGACTTCATCTTCAGTGAGTAAATGAACTCCTTACAGTTAAGTTAAATACCAAATATATACATAGGCCTTGCTTTCACCCTTCGAAGATGTCCAGATACTTGAAATGACAGGGTAAAGGCCCAGCCAATGAGTCAGCCTAGCCTGGTACTCTGTCCCCAGAGGTGCCAACAGAAGACGCCATTGAGTGATAGCATGTGAACCCGGCCACCTTCCACAGTCCTTTTCCCTCATATTCCCTGCAACAACTGTAAGCATTGGATAGGCATGTCATCCTATTTCCTACTTTTGTTCATGGATGTTCTGGCTGTGGATTTGACTAAACTTCTTTTGGACCTGCTGATGCTACCTGGCTCCCCCACCTTTTGCAACTACAAATTCCAGAAGAATGTAAAGAACATCCTTTTATTTATTTTTAAACCACCTCTTAGCAGTTTCCATGAATGTCCTGTGTTTCAAGTACAGAAGGATTCCCAAAGGAGAACAGTATTCCTCAAACAGCAGCCAGCATCTTGAGTAGAGATAACAACCTATCTGCAGAAGTGTGAAGTATTGAGACAGTTTTATAGCCAAATGAAAACCTTGTGAAGTGTAACTAGAAGTAGCAATATACACATTGTATTTCACATCTGTGTATCCACTTTCAAACACACTTATTTCTTAAGTTTTCCACTTTAATAAAAGAAATTTTTCTTTACTTTTAATTAATGATCCATTTTTCAGAGTAATTTTGACAGGTGTCCCATTCTTCCAAAATAGACTCATCAAAGGGAAAAGACTCCTCCCTCCTCAGAATGCCTTGAATCCCCACACAGCACCACCAACTTCATGTCAAATTTGTGAATGCACCTCCAGCAAATTGCAAAAGCTTTTCTGAGGATTGATGTTGTAGCTGTCTATTTAGGAAAAGTGTCTTACAATGTCAAGTCTTAACCAGATTATTGTTGACATCCAGCAGAACAAGAGGTATAATTTCTTAAACCTCTGAGACAAGTCCACATTGCAAGCACAGTATTTCTATCATTTAAGGATCTTGGGAAGGACAGCATGAGAAATGGGCTGAATTTTCACCTTGCTTTTCTGGGTCATAGGTAAATAAATTATGCCTCAGTGTGAGTCACAACAGTCTCCCATACAGAGCTTGATTCTGGCAGAACAGAAAAAGGCAGCTCTGTTTTCCTGGAATGTCTCCCTCTGCACTGCTCCCAAACACTGAGATAAGGACTTTGTTTAGCATTGCTAAGACAAACATTGTATGAAGTTCTACACCTAGAGAAATTCCAACCCATTATACCTATTTAGCCTTTGTAAGGAAACAGGAAAATTACATAAAAATGATTTTGCCATCAGAATTGTTATTACTATTATTTATACCTACAGCCAGAAAGGGCAGCTGTAAAAGCCAAGGCCAACATTATGAGGATATTTCCTTTCAATTTTTTCTCTCCAGTCTCTTTTCAGGTTGGTATGGTCTAGGTTTCTACTACCCTCCCCCTCAATGGTTAATTTAGAGCTGTTTTATCACTGCCCTCCCTAGACCTTCAATTTACTGCGTTACTTGTGTCTCTTGTACTTACCTGAAAACAAACTAAATACTTCCTGCCACTGACATGTTATTTCCTGGGCTTCACATTATTCTCCTTGATTAGGTAACTCTCTTTTCTCCATTCATCACTTGACTGTTGAGTTCATTTAGGATGGTGACTTTGCACTGTCTTGTCTTTCCCTGGTACCTGGCTATGGCAGGATGCCCCCCTACCCCCATCACAGATAGTCAGTGCATAAAAAGATAACCCAGGAGGGAAGGCCCAGCAAGGGGTCATCTCTGGCACCAAAAGGGCTCAGGCCTTAGCTAAGAATCAACATCTTAGTCTGGA